ATGGCCAACAGGTTGTGCTGTACCACGATGAAGCTATCTTCAACCGCTGAAGGATGAGTTCCACTGGGGGTTAGTCCACAAGGTGCAGCAGACCTCTTCTGTCTTGCCCACTCCAGCAGAGTATTTCAGTACATCTGCCTGTTCTGCTCCTCATTGTGTTTCTGATGAATCTTCTCACCCCTTGCATCTCTAGCTTGCATCCCTGCTCTTGTATGCATACATCTTTTTTAAAAAGCCATTCATCATAATCAGGTGGAATTCATTCCACAGGCACCAGGATGGTTCAACACACACAAGTCAATTAATATAACACAACAGAAGGCAACGCATGACAAAGATTCAACCCCATTTATGTTAAAAATCTCAATAAATCTGTGGCCTTTCACATGCAAACAATTAGAGGAAAGAAATTAAGAGAACAATCCCATTTACAATCATATCAAATAAAATACTTAGGGGTAAACCAAAATACATAAAAGACCTAGCCAATGAAAACTGTGAGGTAAAAAGAAATAGAAGATTACACAAAGAAATGGCAGTATAGCCCATATTCATGGACTGGAAGAACAGACCTTATTACAATAGCCAAACCACTTCAGCAATCTACATAGTGAACACAATCTCTACCAAGATTCCAATAGTATTTTTCAAGGAAACAGAATAAAAAATTCTAAAATTTGTACTGACACAGCAATCCTGAGAAAAAAGAAAACTAGAGGCATCTCACACCCTGACATAAATTTATAATATGTGATAATAATCAAAACAAGTATGATTTTGGAACAGATACACAAAATAGAAGTGAGTCCAAAAGCAAAGCACCATATAAATGGACAGTTAAATTTTTTGACAATCTAATCAAGATCACACAATGGAAAAAGGAAAGCCTCTTCAACAAATGTGCTGGAAAACCTAAGCAACTACAGTAGGAGTTAAAAAAAAATACTCAAAATGGGTTAAAGACTTGGATATAATACCTGAAACCATTAAATACTATAAGAGAACTTAGGCAATACACTTCTAGCCATCAACCAGAGAGAGAGACATCTTTGGAGACTCAATTCCAATGGCAAGGGAAACAAAAGCAAAATAACCAGGGACAAAGTTTTTGTACAGTAAAAGAAACCACTGCAAATAAACGAACAAAAGCTACCACGTGGGATAGGATATACATCTCACAGGGACATAATGTAAAATACATAAAGAACCTATTAAACAACAAAAAAATCCCACAACCCAATAAAAAAAATAAGCAGAAAATACGGACATTTCTCCAAAGATATACAGATTGCCAATAAACATGACAAAATGGCAAATTCAAATGTAAGTAGGGAAACGCAAAGCAAGCCACAATGAGGTATTCCCTAGGAATACCTCAGGTGGACCCTAGGAAAAAGGGAAGTTCCAGGTTCCCTGCTCCACCCAGAAGGTGGTGAGCAGAGGAAAAGAAGAGAAAGAAAAGTAATCTGAGAAGGAAGCAGAATGGAGAGCCAGACTACGACCTGAGGAAGCCACGTGGAGCAGCGAGCAGCTTGTTTCTTGGCCCTGGACTGTTTGAAAGAGATGTGGGAGAGAGACCAGTGGGGAGGTGACTATGGCAGTGTTTATATTGATTTTGATGTTGCTCTTTTCCTCCCAGACTTGTCTGACCATGTCTGACCCTTTTCTATGGGTCCCGGCCAGTAGGTGCAATAGTCTTGTGGCGGCTTTCAGGTCTTGCTCTGGCCCATCCCTTTTGGGTTGACTTTTGCCCACGAGGAGATAGGTAACTTCAGGTGTTTGATTTGGAAATTATATTCTTTGTCGTTTGTATTGTATACTCACTGTATTAAAGTTCCTTTTCATTAAAGTCTTATATGTTTTGTCTTGATGCGGTGGATGGCAGAACCTATTTAGAGCAGACGGGTTGGGGGTTCAGCAGTGCCCCTCTCCCTGCCCTGTAACAGTATCACCATACATCTAAGAGAATAAAGGGGCTGAGAAAAAATGGACTCTCACTGGTTGGTGGGAATGTAAATTGGTGCAGCCACTATGAACACTTATGGAGATAAAAATGGAAATACCGTTACGACACAGCACTATCTCCCCTAGTCACTTATGTGAATGAGAACAATAATTTGATTTATGCAGCTCTATGTTCACTACAGCATTATTCACAATAGTGAAGACATGGAAACCTAAAATTGAGAGACGACTGGTTAGAGTCCAATATTCCTAACACACTATTCAGGTATTAAAAAGATGCAATCTGGCCCTCCCTGGTGGCGCAACGGGTTAAAGCACTACACTAAGAAGCTAAAAACCACTTCCGCAAGAGTTTGATCCCCGCCTGCCCCGGAGGTGACCACATGGCGCGGCAGACCTCTTCTGACCCGGCCCGCAGCTCCCCTCAGCAGTATACCTCATTGATCTGCCTGTTCTGCTCCCCACTCTGTCTCTGGTGAATCCTCTCACCCTGCGCATCTCTGGCCTGTACCCCAGTTCTGTACGAATAAATAAATAAATTTTAAAAAAAAAGGATGCAATCTAGTTTGCAACAACATGCTAAGATAAACAAGAAAGTGTAAGATGGTTTCTCTCATATAGTGAATAAAAATGCTCAAAGCAGACTAACAAATCACAACAACAGGACTTTTAGGCTGAAAAATACAGGGGGCGTAACAAAAGGTGGAGGGTGTGAAGGTGGGAGAGAAGAGCCGATGCCGCCGTGACCGGCTGATCGGTGATCGGAGCAGATCAGCCGAGTCCGGCGAGGGACGATGAGGTTAAAGAAAACACAGGACGCCGAAGTTCTTCATCCAGGAGTCTCTCTCGTTTATTTCCAGCGATCCCTTTATATACCATTAGGCAGTAGGAGTGGAAGATTAAGGCGGGAAAGGAGAAAGTAGGGAATTTCTCTTGCCACACCGCCTGCAGCTGCCAGATGCCGACACTCCCTTACAAGGGAGTGTACTAGGGCAGAGAAAGGTCAGGTCTCCCTGTGGCGTCTTAGGCAGATAAACACAAGTCTGTGTCATGGCTTTATCGCCCGACCACCTGGACGCCTTGACACGCACAACAGGGGGCACATCCCCCGGAGCCCCGGGGGGGTAGTGTGCTAACTCGGCACCAACAGGCCGAGGGCATCTACCAGAGTGAAAAGGGCACTGGAACTTTGGTGGTGTGTGATGGGAAGCTTACAAATATGGAGGTAAAGATGGAACTCCAAAGATATAATTTTATAAGCCAATAATAGAAAAAAAAGTTCCCTGCACAGACAAAACCATTTTAGTTTTAGAAGCAAATCTTAATTGAGCCTGTGTGCAAGATTAACTTCACCTGAGTCACTCCTTGCCCAAGCCTCTGGAAATAAGCAAAACTTACAACTGTTTCCCAAGGTTGTTATTAAAAAAAAAAAAATTGAAAATTCTAACATTATAACCAATCACTCCTAAGAACAGTCACTCCTAATTGTACAAGCTGCTTTTGAGCCGTATAATCCCAAGTCTCACTCCATATTTTGGCTTGAGTGTTGTTGGCTTGCAAACAAACTGCCTTTTTGGTGTGTGCGCAATAAACTTTTGATAATTACTACTCTAGTTAGTTAACTGGTTTTACTTTTTGCTATTTCTGATAAGGATTTAATGTTTAATTCTACTGCATTCTGGGGTTGCAAATGCTGAGAAACCCAATTTACATTATTAAGTACACATGAAATGAGTTTTGTTACAGTCAGGTGTTTTGAACTCTTTCCTACTTAACTACCAACCCGCTCTCCTCCACCCCCCACAGACACACCAAGATTAAGCATGAAAATTTTAACAATGGAATACTTGTTAAAAAACAACAAATTTGTCATTAATCACTCATTTTCTCAACACTGACACGATGTATCATATGAGATCCTGCAATATAGCATGATTTTGAACGGTGAGACTAATCCAACCCACTAGTACATCTGAATGGTCTGAGAAGCACTGTGCTAGAAACCTCTAATTTGTGCAGCGTTTTTTCTTCTACTGACAACACACTCAGACACATGCACAAAGCGATTTCCAAGAAATGTCCACCTTTTGGGTCCAAGTCACACAGTACCAAAGTGAACCTCCCTTTCCGAGCAACAGCCCTTTCAAGTTCTTGAGCAGCTACTGATACAGTAAATGGGCTTTCAGATAAGGATTTGTGGATTTGCCTCCATTGACAAATTTATGACAGAACTGGTTTTCCCATAGTTTTTCACTGACTGTGGGTTTACTTTTTTCTTTCTCTTTTCTTGCAATTTCTCTTCTCTTGACAGGTTTAGGCTCAAGAAAGGAATCCCAAATAAAAGCAGATAGTGAGAAAGCTCGTGGACTCCTCTTCCTGAGCTAAACCCTGCCCCGCCATTGCTCTTGACGATTCCCCGTTTTTGTTTCTCTTTGTGTAAATGAAGACTGGTGCCCACTGGTCGCCATCCCAGCAGTTTTACCCTCTCCCCTTTGCAGATTCTCGCCCAACTCCCCTTCTTCTTTAACATTGTATAAATAGCCCTGTAACCTGCCGAAGAGCAGGAATGTAGTCTTTCCTACATGAGTCTGCTGCCCTCATTTGTGACAAATAAAACCACTTTCCTTTTCCTCAAACTCTGTTTCCTTTTACTGGCTGAGGGAAACTGAGACCAGCGTTTGGTAACACTAAGCTCTACTCACCCCCACCTTTTCCTTTCTTCCCAGCATGTAATATTTTGCGTTTAAAACACAGACCCCCTTTCACACTACTATAGGGAGTCAAAGCCACAAAACGAGATTCCACCCTCTCTTGCAAAGCACGTGGAAAAGCCGGTGGGCTCAAGAGGCTACTCCTCAGGACTCCAAAAACCAAATAGCCCTGACTTTTGTGCTCTCTAACCGGTCCTCTGGCTCTCCTGCTGTCACCCACAGGGCAAATCCCGTTCCACTCTCCCCAGCCAGCCCCTCACAACCGTCTTTCCACAACCACGCTCCAGCCATCCAGCCCTGTTCTCCCACTTCACCGGCTGGTACCTGACTAAGAAGACGCGGTCGAGACACAATGCCTCGCAGATCGATATAGACGGGGGAGGAGAGTCCACTCTTCAGGACGAAGTCCCCGAACTTGAAAGCTTGCACGTCGTACAGACTCGTTACCAAAGAGCCCAGAGCTGTAGCCACAGGAGCCATAGCGGTTAGCTCGCAGGAGGCGCGAATGCAAAAGCACCACCCGCGCCGGCGCACTGCTGGCGTCACTCTGGAGCCCCGCCTCTTCCGCTCATCCTTCCGGCGCGCCGCCGCGCTCTGGGAGCGCGGCAATTCGTCACTATACTGGGAGTCGCGCCCCGGCCACTGATCTGTGCCCTTGGTTGGTTCCCCGTTGAGTACCTCTGGTTAGGATCGCAGTTTACTAGTTAGACTGGCTTCTGGGTCATGAAGTAATTTATAAATCCTGCCCACTTTGCCCAATGCTCTCTTAATTGTCTCAGACCGCGGTTATTTAGCTGACATTAACCAGGATTCCTCCTCCACCCCACCCCACCCCGCTACCACTTTTCCACAAATTATGTGTTAAATTCTCAAAAAAGTGACTGTTAACTTCAGGGCATCTGGCACAGTAATTTGCACACGGCCTAGGAAAAGGGGCAATGTAAAGTACCCAAGATAATAGAACTGAAAGTTGTACCACATCCTCCCAGCCTTAGGTTTTCTTTTACTTACTTGCTGTGTTATTGAAAAATAGTTCAGCAGAACATTTTTACTGCGCACGTAGCTCAACCCTGAAGATTATGTTCTCCGACTTGCAAACCTGCGAATAAAATCCGTTTAATTTTGTTAAATTCATCGCATTTTTTATAAGAGTAAGTAATTGTTCATTACCTGTTCTGCAGTTACCATGGCGTCCTGGAAGGAGATGTGTTTTATCCTTGTTAGAGTATCTCAAGTGCCTGGCACATAATGTACAGCAAATAGAGTGCAAAACAAGTAGAGGAGGATGACTTGGTCGTTACTGAGGTTTTTCAAGATGATACTCTTGGGAATCTATTTTAAAAGTCCAAGCATGTTTGGTCTTTATAAGTAAACCCCTTACAGTGGGGAGAAATTTCCACTATAGATAGGGGGCAGGACTTTACCTTACTGAAGGGAAAATAACCCTTAAAACCGTAGGAGTCAAGGGAGGGAAATGCACGGGACTATGGTGGTGGCACAGGGGTGATTTGGTGATGGGAAACCCGTGGGGATTACAATTGAGATAAAAAAAATGTGCAAAATGATGCAAAAATAAACTTTTTAATAAAAAAAAAAAACAAAAAACCGTAGGAGTCATGGTTATTATTCATCATAGTGACTCTGATTTCATTTCTAATTTCTACACTCCTTATATCTTTCTCTGACGAGATTGTGCTGACCTACAGTGTTAAAAGCCATGCTTTTGATAGTTCTTTCTCATTTCAAATAAAGGCAGTAAATTCTTGGTGAAATAGAAGCCAAATGTTAAACTATTTTTGTGGGTTTTTTTGGGCGGGGTTGGGTAAAACAAGCTAAATGCTTGTTTAGCTTCAATTTCTAACACTCTAATTGATAGTGTATGATGAATCAGTAAAACTTGCATGAGGTGGCACACACAGACCCTTTCAAAGCCTGATCATGTTTGCCTCAGCTAACCCAGGCTCCTGGAATAGACACTGAGTTGCATAAAAGTGAGATCCAGTTCAAATGACCTGCCATCTTTCTAACAGAATTACCATATGAAACACAAGAAAGAACACTTGCTTGTGAAACACACTGAAACTTAATCAACATGTCATTTGTTCTTTCTGCTTGTCTTGCATGAACAGCAGGGCAGGCTTGATGAAAAAAGAGTGGGGTGGGGGGTGGGAATACAATCTATCATAAGTTGTGTCAGAGCACAGACCCAGAGAAGTGTTCACTGTCCTTGACATGACATCTCATTGCCTAGACCAAAATAAACACAGGACATGGAACTAAGATGCTTAGATGGTTAGACACAAAATACTCAGAAGCAAGGGGTGCTCAGTGTGCTATACTGAGTTCTAGACCCAAATTCGATTTACACCTTGATTTAGCAGAAAGCAACCAGTCAGTCTACCAACTTGCATTTTCTATATTTGCACTTTAACGACATAAGGATTGTTCAAAGCCCTATCTACTGGAAAATTGATTTGAGAGCCATGTCTCCAGTCTCCTGCCAGATGATCTCAAATTAAATTGGTCCTTCTGTCAAAAGCTTGTGGCATGGCTTTTTGGTTTCTGTGCCATCCAGTAGCAAGTCCACATTTGGAAACAATACATGAGGCTTATTCCACATTTTTGGATAGAGGAAAAAGAACATGTCTGCAGGGTACAAAGTGACTGTTTCCTTTTTAAAATGCTGGGCAAAAAGTGCTGTAATAACAATGACAGAATGTTTTCAGCTTGTCAGTGGCTTTCTGTATTTTGAGAGAAAATTACTCTTTTCTTTGAACAAAGGTCTAAATTAGAAAGAAAAGATCACCAGAAATAATACCTTTAGTATAGTATATTTATAGGAATGCATAACTTGTGAGGTGTACATTTTGAAGTTTCATCCATAACTTATAACATTTATTGTAGTAATTAATAACAAGACAGTAGGTCATCACTTTACAACATTACACATGAGTGATTTGGACTTACAAATAAAATATTTACAATCTACCTTTACAAAACAACATTGTGTGCATACAAAATGAACAACTGCAAAAAATTTTAAAATAATAAGACAACTGAAAACCCAGAAGATACACTTAAGGCAGACCAGCAAGACACTGAAACAATTAAGGCTGTGGAATTTTTCTGCACCTTGAAAATATAAAACTATTTATCAATACTGTGGAGTGATTTTAAATCAATTATTTCAAGCCTGATGGAAGTATGTACTATATGTATATGTTTAATGGTCCCTATGGGGAAACCTGTCCACTTACGGATAAGGCCCTTTATCTGAATGTCTAGAGAAGCCCACCCAAATTCTCAAGAGACTTGGTAGGGGGAGGAGGGGCTAGTCAAAACCAACAGGTACCAATGTAGTTTGCAAATAGACTATTAATAATTGAAACTTCTGATTCCAGCTAAATGTAATAACCTAAACGATAGCCCCATTGATTTTCAGGCTTTGTTCATTTGGCTTCATGATCTTCAGAAAATAGCAAATTAATTCCCAAGTGAGTAGAATCTCTCCCCAAAAGGCAGCCCTAATGGTTCTGAATGGCCCTAAATGGTTTTCCGATAGAAAAACTGACCCACCTGGGCTATCTTCAAATGGATAGATTTCTGCATATGAGCATAACATATACATACATATTTTACACTATATACATGTACAGATGTACACATATCCATGTTTGTCCAAGTTTGCACTTTGATCACTACTGTTCTCTGACTAGGATCACATACTGAAGAGTATGTTTAGTTTTGTTTTTTTTTTCAGTCTTTACATTTGTCTAACCACTAATTACTCACCTTCCCCATAGAGTTGGCTGAAGTTTGGCAGAAACAGAAGTAAAAGCACCAGGATCAAAAAAGCCAAACACAGAGATGACAGATATGGCTTAAGTTAGGAAAAGAAGATGTAACTTCAAATTTGGGATCATAGTTGCTGAAATTGTGATGATAGTCCCTAATGCTCTAGGATGTAGATTCACTTTGTGATAGAAAGTAGGCATGGATGGCTTTCTGTTGCACTAGCTCTTCCTGAGCTAGTAAATTCGCATGCTCAAGGTAAGCCTCAGAAATTGGGATTATTTGCACTTTTCCCCACCACCCTCTTTTTTTCTCAGCTACTGGCACTATCCCAAAATAACAATTTTTGAATAAACAGTTAATCCTGGTCATTTGAATAAAAAAAACCAAATCTGACCACATTTTGTAAACTCTCAGCAAGCAATGCTATAGCGTATGTGTATTTATTTTCATAAGTGACTTTCCACGAATGTCCCTTAATGATGAAAATCTGCCTCAGGGTAATTGCCCTTTCCTCTTCTCTAGCTACCATCTCTAGCTATTGAAAATGAAGAAGAAATACTTGTTATAGAAAAGATGACTGATAGTTCTGTGTTCTAGTATTTCTGAATAATTTTCTGTTAAAAACATCTAGTTTTATGGACAAATTTGCAGCCCTTTTTAACTCTCTAGAATTCATGAAACAACTGAGAGTCTTAAGATTTTTAGAAAATAAGTATTAACATGGTAGCTTCCCTTTACTTGGTGGAGTATACGTCAATCTCAACTTTCCTAACCCCACCCCAGGTTTAAACGTTCATTTCTAAATGACCCCTAGGTTTTAAGTAGTTAAGAAAAATCATAATGCAAATACATTCCCTGAAAGCTCACAGTTTCCATTTGCCTAACTCCAGACTCCACAGAGATACCAACAAGAGAGAAAGAAGACCCACGTTCCTTAAAACTGAACAGAACATAGTGTGTTTGCTCTTTTGCCAAACTACAGAGATCCCTGATGTTTGAAATATTTCTTCTAGCAAATTCATGGGACAAAGTTTTACTTAGTAACAGCAATAGTTGCCATTAATTTACAACATATTTGCTTCCTCATATTCTCACAAATCTAAATTTGCACTCTTCCACATAGGCAAGAAAAAAATAATAACAAAAATAATAACTAGCTCATGGGTGTTAGTTAAATCATGGAAATGATAGGAAAGTAAACAAGCTACTCCTGACATACCTAATGATCAAAAAAAAATCCAAGATTTTTTTCCTCCGCAAACTAGCAGTTCAACTCATTTTTATACCTTTAATTTGCCTCTTATATCTGTCTGTGAGACTCTGTAGAAAAGAATTATAATGTCAGAAAACATTTTATTCTCACTTCTGTTTTTCCAATGAAAAAAAGTGTGTGTTTTGGTTTTTCAGCAATTTTTCCAGTACATAAAGTTCGAAAAGAGAGAGTAACTGTAGTAACTGTTGCTTTGGAAGGCATCTTACTCTGCGTCTGCCCTAAGGAATACTGGAGAAAACAGTGTTTTTTTTTTTGTTTTTGTTTTTTTTGACATAAGACTTCATCAACTCTCCTAACCTTTTTCTGTAGACAAGCTTTTAAATGACTGAAATTACAGGCTAAGACCAAATAACATTTAGACAAAGACCACCTCATACTTCCAATTAAAATCAATTTACAGAATTTAATCTCTTGAGTTTGCAAATGGTATCTAAACACACGAATATCGAAAACCTGGAATGTTCAAAGTTACCATCAATAAAACTCTTAGCACTGGCAGTGTGTAGCACTTTTTAAAAATCAAAGTATTTCCTAAACATTTCCTACTAAAGTATTTTCCTAACATTCCCTGTGACATGAATATCCTCCCTCCTCCCCCCCCACCAATTCCCATTTTACCAATGGGGGCATTTGGGGCAGGAAAAAAACAACAACAACAGACTTTCTGTAAGAAAGGACGAATAGGAATAGTTGAGATTGAAACTCAAGAATTCCTGGGCTCACCCTATATTCAGATGTTTTTATTTAAAAGATATTTAAAAATAAAGAAAAATGCTGCAATATCAGTAAATCTAAATACAATGAACTTCTTTATTTCCCATCCTCCCCTCTGAAAGGCACTACTATTTATAAAGGCTTTGTGAACCACAAAGGGTGAAGCCAGCTTTCCTCCTCTGCCTCCTCTACTCTCCCAAGGGTGTCTATGGCTGTGAGAGACCTGAAAGATGCCCCCAATGTTATTTCTTTTTTCTGAAAAATGTTCCATATCCAGCTGCAAGCCGATATAAATCTATTTAATCTGAAAGAAATGTAAAAGATCCAGGTTATTATATCTTTTAAAAATTAGTATGTGTTGTCCCTGATCTTGTCCATCTTTCTGCATCCTACCCTTACAAAACAAAACAAAACAACCCCAGAACCCAATGCAATGAGTAAAAGCCAAGCAAGCGACTTGTGACTTTAGCCAACATTTATTTTTCTCATTTCAACTGGAGGTTCATTCTCACCGATTCCTAGTTTAGTCTTGACTTCAAGAACTACCTTAATTATAGTAGACGTGGATCATCTTCTCTGCCCTACTACCAAGGATATTTTTGCCAAAACATATATAAGAAAGTGGTCCCTGATCCTTTGTCCCTTATTAAGTTTACCTGCAGAGCAACCCAAAGTACATTCCCCTGTCCCATCTGCTAGGGTTCCTTATTATTCCAACTTACTTTGAACTTTTTTTTTTTCTTTTTTGAGCTGGGACCAGTAACTTTTCCCTATTGGGAGGAACTGGGAGTTTTGCAGATAGGGAGCCTCCCTATTAATTTTCTCCACTTATCAAACTATATAAAATATACCCCCTTTCTCTTGGGGCCTCTATTAAATTCATTCTATTCTAATGATTGTACTTTGGCTCCAGTTAAGAGAATCATACTACTTTTTACTTCTATGTTCCTCCTCTCCTGTCTCCTGTCTCCTCACTTCCCCAACATTTGTATTTGGGGGTGTGGAATTACATAACCTCATGCTGGACCATTGTGACTCTGATTCAAAAGTGACACAAAAGCTTTGGCTCTAACCTATCAACTGTCCTCCCCACAACAGGATTTCAATAACACCCTCCTGTGTAATCTAGTCGCCATTGTTCCAGGCCCTCGTCCTCTCAAGTAGAAAGTCAGCTTGTCTCCAACATGGCCATAAAAATTCAATAGGCCGCATCAGCGGGATCCTCAGTCTCAGTCACAGAACTAGCCAAGTCACAGTGACGGACATTGGGAAAGCGACCAGGCTTTCTTCTTCTATGCTGTCTCTCATAATGAAGACACGTTTACTAACAGTGTTTTTAGTAAATCTCTCTTAAATTTTACATTATTGTATCCTCTAGTATTTGTATATACACATGAGTTTAAATGAAGAATATGGAAGGTTAGTTGAGAGAGGGCTGAGGAAGTGAGCCTTGATGGCCCAGGGTTACTTGAAAACTAGGAAACAAATACAGTTTGAGTCATTTTCCATAGATTCGGAAAATATGAAGTTCCATCTAGTTTATTGCTTGTTCTTTCTACTGATTTATTAATCTAGAATCTTAGATGGAATGAGGTGGAGGGTGGATAAGGAGGTTAACTTTGAGGCCAATGGAAAAGAAAAATAGGCATTTTTAATTCTACATTTCTACCGTGGGAATAAGTTACATATTAAGGTTCAGGTTTTTTCCCACCATTCTTTTTTATTTAGATAAGCACAGTTCTATTTATCCTTTATAAACTCTGATTGTAATTTTCTGCTGCATGATTTTAATTATCTCAATCCTACTATAGGAGAGAAGCAATGCCATACAACCCGATTTAGACAAAGACTTGAGCTATAATTTTTAAAATACTATTTGTATAACAGTAATTTTCAAAACAAAAGGTCTACCAGATATGAACACAAAAAACAGAAAGTCTTCCCAAAAACATAAAAAGAAAATCACAAAATTTCCAGGTTTAATTTTTTTTTTTTTTCCCCATCAATGGAAAAAAGGGCAGTTCATCATCATCTCGTCTGGAGAATGTACACTGGAGAGCAGTTTGGCCTCAAAGAGCAATTAGTCCTTTCGGTCCAGGGAAATATTGACAGCTGAGTGGTGATAGGTATTGCCTTCGCAGTGAAAACTCAATGCTCTGTCAGAGGGCTGTATCAGATTTAATTCCATGGCTTTAAAAAGGACTTGGGACCAGACCTTTGAAAGGCCTCTATGGCAAGCACCCCTGGCTTCCACAGGGGTTAGAAATAAAGCCAGCCAACTTTCTGAGGAGTGCATTCTACAGCTGTAGAAGAGATCAGAAAGTGTTGTTATGTCATTCATAGAGACTGCAGGGAAGGTTTCTATAGGCCCTTGTGTATGAACCTGTTATATTCATTATATATTTCAAATCAAGTGTAGACAGAAAAATAGCCCCCCAACTCTTGCTGTTTGGGGACTTACTTCCTGACAGGTTTTTCCTGCCAGATTAACTCTGAGCTGCCAGTGAATTTGGGGGTAGCATTTCATACGCAGAACCTATGTTAATCACACCTGTGACTGAGAGAAAATCATCTCTTTCACAGATTACAAAAGGGTCACCTTGCTTTTGTCTTAATGCACAGGTTCTGGTAAAAGATTTCTATACAAGATTTATAAAATGCTCTAAAAAAGTTGTCATCTTATTGTGCTTAGTCAAAACAAAGTAATGCTTCGGTAAATAAATTACTGTCTTAACTGGAGCACTCAAAGTTACTTATGCTTGATTTCGTATATATCTCTATATTATAAAACTCTGAAACCTGAATGGGTAATATTTAACTGTATGAGAATATGTATGCTATTAAGAAACTATATCTAAATAATCTAAACCAGAATAGTGGACATACATGACATCTCTGATAAATAGAACTTCTCGCTTAAAATTTTAGCAAAGGCAGAAACCTTTGATACTCACGACGGTGAGCTCATTTTTGCCCAGTTAACCACTCGTTTTGGAATGCACAAGTAAAATTATGGTAACAGCAAATGTTCTCGTTATCCTTGCCCCTCTTTTTATATTTTCTGTAACTCTTTGTCACGTTTTCTCTTTTGGATGACCTTCCGGTAAGGTCCTGGATTTCCGGTGATTTTACTGCTGCTCAGACCCTGAATAACCATGGAGGAGGTTTAAGAGGTACATCTCCCAATCCAGAAAGCCGCATGGAGTGGAATACTTAACAGAATTATTTACAGACACATTCAGTCTTGCTTTGGTTCACACTGCGCTTCCATGTGAAACCTCCAGGCCTGGGACAGCTATGTCCCTTGGTTGACCCGGTTGACAATGTAGCTCTTGACGTTGGGGACAGGGCGCACGTCGTTCTGGTGCTTGCGGCGCTCTATGAAGCACGCCAGGCGGGAGGTGTCCAGGGGGATCTTGGAGTAGCTGCCATTGTGGGGCTGCAGCCAGGGATGCTGCAGGCAGGTGGCTGCCGTGGGCCGCCGCCGAAAGTCTTCCTGTAAGATCACGTTGATGAAATCTCTGGCCGCGTTACTCACGCCGCAGAAGTACTCATGTGGGAAGCTGAAGTCCACCCTGCACACGTTGATACACGTCTCCTCCTTGCTCTCATCCAAGAAGGGAGAGACCCCACTGAGCATGACATATGTCAGGACCCCAATGCTCCAAATATCGGTGCCCAGGGAGACAGGGATGCCTTGGATCACTTCCGGGGCGGCAAACTCTGGGTTCCCCAGTAGGTGGTGGATGTGGAAGTGACCTGAGATCTGGACGGCATCCTCCAAGTCGATGAGCTTCACTCTAGGCACTGGAATCCTCAGGTCAATGAGCAGATTTTCAGGCTGCAAAAATCCAAGGAGGCGGAAAAAAGAGAAGGGATGTTCAGCTCTTTCCTGTCTACCAGTAGGAGTCCCTCAGTTCAGTGTAGCCCTGATAGTCTTTGAAATTCCTTTTACAAAGTGCACTGGAGGCTTCATAGCCAACAAAACTCTGAATTTAGTTGGGCTTCAGAGACTGTTTGACATTGAAAATCACGTCTTCTTAACTACCCTTCATTCTCACATTAGAATCAAGCAAATAATGCCATTTTCATTTTGGAAAACAGGGCTGTTTTATTTGAGCACCATGAGTAAAAAGGTGACGTTGCTGGCTTCCTTCTATCAAGTTGGACTAAGTAGCTAAAGCTCCCCTGCTTCTCTCACTGATGTCACTGTGACTTAGTGTATTCTTACTAATTTACATCAGACACACTTAAATTGTGTGACGAGATAGTCTAATATTCACAAAGATTCTAACCTAAGTAATAAAGTGAATTTATACCCTTCAAGGGTAGTGACTGGCAGGGGGAACTGAGCTGTTTCTCTGTCATATCTTGTTACCATTTAAAAAAATTATTATATTTATTTTTACATAGAAGAACTGGGGTATACGCCAGAAACAGAATGTGAGAGGGTTCACCAGAAACAGAATGGGGAGCAGAACAGGCAAATGTACTGCTCAGGCAAACACACTGCTGAGGGGAGCAGAGGGTGAGACAGCAGAGGTCTGCTGTGTCATGTGGGTCAGCTCCAGGGCCGGAGATTGAGCTCAGGCCACAGTGGTAATAGCGCTGATGCTTAAACCCTGGGCTGCCAGGGTGGCGCTACTGTTACCTTTATGTCCAGGTGCGCGACCCTGCAGTTGTGCAGATACTGCAGTGCTTCCATGACGTCTCGGATGTAGAAGGCTACTTTCTCTTCCATCAGCTCATCGTGGTTCATAAGATAGTCTAAGAGCCGGCCATCGTCCATCCTGAAGGTGGGAAGGAAATGGAAAAAAAAGATATGTTTGTTAAGGAACAGAAAAATAACACATGTATAAATCTCTACAATCTCTGAGCTCTCTCCTCCTCCCTCTTATAACAGAAGATCACTGTTGCAACACAAACATGTCAGAATTAGAGCTCATGGGTAGTATGATGCTCACAACTGAAACAAATAAATTTACAAATGTGCTACACTTCTGAAAAAAATTGTATTATCTTATAAGATGCACATTATTTTGTTAACTGGTGAAATTACTCACAAGGGAAAAATTCTGATACCCTATAAGAAGTTAAATTGCAAAACTGAGAAATTCTTCACCCAGAAAGAGAGAGTAGCAATGTTTCAAGAAAGCCCACAGTGTTTTACAAGCTGCTTTCATTTGTCATTTGGGGAAAACAGAAAGCAAAGGAGGTCCTTAGCATTTATGACCCTCTTTTTAAAACTTTGCCTTGAAGACTCACTAAGAACATGGTACAAGGAGCCAGATTGTGATTTTGAACCCTGGTTCTGCTATTTATGGAGGGGATGGGTCGTGGTGAGGGGAGGTGTGGTTGGGACAGAATAGATTCTTGATGTTTCCAGGTTCTTCCTCTCTGAAGAGGAACTAACAGTAACAGCACCCACTTCATTAGGAGGACTGTGCAAGACTCAAGTATGATAAGGAAGCACTTCAGCATAATTTGGTTGCCATGGTAAATACTCAATAGATGGGAACTTCTTTTAGGGGTGAACAGGTGCCAAGCAGTTATTCGCTAAGGTGCAATGGGTTGGCTATTAAAGGAATCCCTCGGTTAATGCTCAGGCAGAAGAACTGGAATCCCGGTCAGAAAAGTCTTTCAAGCATAGCTGAAACTCTCACGGCTGCTTCCATTCTCTTTCTCTAGTTTGTTCCTTCCCACTGTCTCTTCTGTTTTCCATGACAAGAGTAAAGAAAGACTCCTTTTCCTTCCTTCTTAGTCCATGGTGAACTTAGAGAAGGGAATGGGAATTTAGATGCACCCCCTGAACTTCTTGGAGCACACAAGGGAGAAATTAATAGTAGCACCTCCCTGAGACCCAAGAGTCTCAGTGACGAAGCTCACCCTTAGATTGTTTAGATTACCCATAAACTCAGGCCCCATCCTAGATTAGGGGATGGGCATTTCATTTGCCCACAGAGAAAAGCTCTAATAGTGATTCTGTGGGCCACCAAAGATGCAATCTGGAGTCATAGGGCTTAGCTCAGGCACTGCTTCTTCTTGATGTTCTCCTGAACATCACATCCAAATCCAGCAACTTTCTATATTGTCAAAATAGTTCTCCCCAAAATATGCATTGTCCCTTCGCATTTATCATACTATATATTGGAGTCACTCACTCATCTTCCTCATTGGACTAATATCTCCTCAAGGGCATGAATTACTTGTTTTCACCTTTGCTCTTCCCACACTTACTTGGGTCTAGACTGAGGCTGACACAGGCTAAGTGCACAGTAAATGTTTGTTACGTTAGGTCAATCCAACGTTCATCTAATTTAATACGTGTAACATCCCTAAGAAATAGGAATAATTTTTTCAAGCTTCAGAGATGAAGACCCCAAAGCCCAGAAAACTAATTTATACTGTTTCAAATCACAGAGCCCAATTCTTCTATCCAAGAATGGCTTCTTTCCACTGCACTATGGCAGCCTGGAAATTAATACCTTCCCCAGAATGGTAGCAGGCAAGCCTGAAACAGTGAAGCCGCTGTGTCCGTTTTACCACCTTGAAATACAAGTAACACCTTTTATTGGAACCAAAGCATAACATAGCTCTCAGAAACAAAGCCAGGTCATTGTTATAACAGGACATGCCTTTTGGGTTAGAAAGCGCCCAAAAAACAGGTTGTGCTTACAAAGGTGTTTTGTAATTATGTGAAATCTGAAGCTGATATGAATGCTGGCCTGTCTGCCTCAGCCAATAAAAGGAAAAGGCAAGTGGTTTAATTTGTCGACAAATGAGCAGACTCGTGTCTGGAACACCACCGTCCTGCTCTTTGGCAGGCTTCAGTGCTATTTATACAAAGGTGGAAAAGGGGATGTGGGTGAGGGCCTTCAAAGGGGAGAGGGGAAGGGGTTGGCATGGAGATGGGTGGGCCCCAGCTTGCTTTTCCAGCAACTACTGTTTACCTCCCTTTTCCTTGGAATGAAAGAAGAAAAACCTATTCTTTGAGGGTACGGGGAGGTAGGGAATTGCAAGAGATTGGGGAAGACAGGCTTATTGATGCTTATCTCAGAGGTCTGTCAATAAAAGGGGAAACCTGTCAACCAAGGGAGAAGACAAATTGGTGAATGCTTATCTGAGAGACCTGTCTTTTGTCACTGCATCAAAACGACATTCTAGCAGCGACAGCAAAACTGTATCAAATTTAGCACCACAGAAGAATTACAAATGCAAACCGTGTAGTTTTGTCACCCTCTATTTCTTTCCTACCACTTTAGAAGTCTAACCAAAAATGTTCGCAGTGGGCTTTCTTTCTTCCATCCTAAATAAATTCATGATTTGTCATTGCTTCAAAGGTCTGCATATGCACACACTTAGACTGACACAGCACTCAGGAACAAGACAAAAGTAAGAGACAAAAGGCCATAAATGGAGGCCCTGCTGTCACGAGCATGGGTCTCCATGCAGCCACCACTGTACCAGGTTTCAGTTCCAATGTCTGTCTGCTCTCCAGGTCCAGGGCCTCATCAGCACCAATCAGGCAGCGTTTCCTGAGCGCTCGGTACTTTGGAAAAGACAGTTCTCAATAGCCTCTGCCAGATCTCTAAGTAAATCTCAGATGATAACCTCTATTTTTAGCTTGGGGTCTTAGCTGGGAGGGAGAATGTGTCTTTACCAATGTATTCTTGGGGCCAATACAGAGCCCGAAGTATATGGCTGTCTGAGTCCCTAGAAAATATGGAATGAGGGGAATGAAGGTAAGGTTTTACCCTAGCAGGGACTTTTTGGGTGGTAGACTGGTGATGCTATGCAGAGGATTGATGTGCAAACCCATCTTTTGCCCAACCCTACCCCTAGACGTGAGTTCATTGTCAATAAACTTTCCTGAAACTCGTGTCCAATCCAATAGAAGGAAAATGAAATCGGAGTGAGAGAAATGTGGGCTCACGTCATAGCTTCTCCATTTCCTAGTTTGAAGGGCTTTATTCTCCATTTTCTGATCAATAAAATGGCAATAAGATTTCTATAAAATGGAGAAGAAAGTTCATGTTTCACATAACACTATAGAATGTAATTGCCTCTTCCATGAATCGTGGGCAACAAGTAACCCAGACAACTGGAGCTCACCCCAGAGATGGCACCTGTACTTACAGCTCCAAAATCAGGATGTAAGAGGTGGGGGACTCATAGGTGTCATGGAGAGTGATGTATTGGGGGTGCTGCAGGTGCTGAAGTAGGGCAGCCTCATGGGCAGCTTGCTCCTTTTTCTTCATTTTTTTGCTGACAAATTTCACAGCGACATCTTTGCGGGTAGCTTTGTGAATGCACTTCTTTACAATGGAGAAGCGGCCTCTGGAAAGCAATAGGGTGAAAGTGTTTTGCCAAGATACATCAATCAACTAGGCTCATTTCTCTCAAGGATAAAGGTTTTATCTGAAGTGGACAGACAAGAACATTTTATTAGGAACCCTACTTTCCTGTATTTTATTATAATGTTAATTTGAAAAACTACCATTTCTTCCTGAGCATCATACAGCTCTTTAAGAAGCAAAAAGCTAGTATCATTTTAAGTCAATTTTATTTCTCTGTCACTTTCAGCATTAAACACAAGGTTCAGTTTTTGTTTTTTTATTGTCGTCCCTATTCATAATATGTTTCTGTAAAATAGAACAATAGCAGCCATGTTCAAGAAGACAGAATTCTTTCCAGGATCATTGCAAAAACATTTTTTAAAAGGTGACTTTTAATTTTATTTTATATTGACTATCCTCTCATGAAAAATTTTGAAATTACACAAAAGTAGAGGAAATAATATAATAGGTCTAACCAGTCTTTTGTGCATCTTCTATGATTATCATTATTTTGCTAACCTTATCTCTTTTATTCCTTTTCTCAACACCTCCCCTCCCCTGCTCTTTTCATCCTCTAGCATATTTAAGCAGATTTCATGTTATTTCACTCACAAATACTTCATTTTGCATTTCTAATTGACATTTAAAAATATACAACACCATGGTATTTTTATAGCTAACAAAATTTACCACACCTAAAATAGAGAGACTGAATCTCTTTTCCCTTCCACTCAGCTGTGGAAGGGAAAAGAAAGTGAAGTCAAAGGCCGAACCATCAGCAATGAGAGCAGAGAAAGAGAGGGTACAATGCTAGGTTTAAAAAAATTCACTTATAATGTTTTCCTCTTAGGTGAATACATTGTTTCTCTACCACTTGTCCCTTTCTCTCCCCTTCTCCCTTTAACCTCCAAGCCTTCATGATGTGAACTGAAGTCCACTGAAAGTACAAGTGTTTTATGTCGTCTAATTGTCTGCTACGTGTTTAGTGTTTGTTCTAATCAACTTGACTGACTTTGCTGCACATAATTTTCTCAGATTCCCTCCATTTTGTTGAAAATGGCTGCATTTCATCCTTTACTATGGTTATATAATACTCATGGTGCGGGTGTACCACATCTTGATCCATTTCTCCACGGGTGGACGTTTAGGCTGCTTCCGTGTCCTAGCTAATGAAAATAAGGCTACTATGAACACTGTAGAACACTTGGGACTTGTGCTGATAGCTTCATCTTCTTTGGATAGATGCGCAGGAGTGACTTGTTGGGTTGCACGGTATTTCCGTTTTTAGTTTTTTTTAAGGTAAATCCAGATTGTCATGACATTTGCACTAATTCACATCCTCGCCAACAGTGTGATGGAGTTTTCTCACTCAGCATCCTTTCAAACTCTTTTTGGGGGTCTTTTTAATATGTATCCTTCTCAAAAGCTTGCAGTGATATCTTTCTGTGGTTTTAATAGAAGTGATAATAAACACGTTTTATGTCTTCAAGCCTTCTGGAGAACCTCATTGATGAATTATCTATTCATACCTGTTGCCCACTTAATAACTGGGTTTTTTAAATTGTTGATTGTATGATTTTTCTATATTAATTTTTTCACACCATAGATCAGCTCTCAAAGCCTTGCTGTGCTTTGTTAGGTGTCTTCTAAATATGTACAGCTTGGAAATGACCCAGAATGTGTGTTGTTTTCTGCACAGGGGTCTACTGCTTAGCTCATTCCTCACACATTCCTTGACTCCCATGAATACCCTTTTTTGGTTTCTTTGGTCAGAAAGATGTTTTAGCTTCCTGCACACCGACCCTTGATTTTGTTTACTCTCTGGTCAAACCCAGGAAATAAAAGAAAAATACATTAAAAGCCATCCAGAAACCTCACTCACTGCACTGTCTTTGTCTTTCTTTCTTTTTTTAAAAAAATATTTATTTATTTATACATACAGAACTGGGGTATAGGCCAGAGGTGCAGGGTGGTGAAAGGATTCATTCATCCACGTGGTCTGCTGCACCACGTGGGTCACCTCCGGGGCAGGTGGGAATCAAACTCATGCTGCAGTGGTTTCAGCTTCTTAGAGCTGTGCTCTAACCGGCTGCGCCACCAGGTAGGGCCCTGTCTTTGTCTTCACATTTTAACTTCCGTCTCCAGACTTCCTGTTACTTCTCAGAATCCTTTTTCATTTTGTCTAAGCTTCCATTTGTAATCAGTGGGAGATAAACACTACAAAGGGCATACTCCATCTGGGCTGGCATGGGAATGGCTCATTTTATTTATTTTTTAATTGAAATATATTTGACAGATAGTATTATAGAGATTTAAAGTATAAGACATTGATTTGACACAGTTACATATTAAATAATGATTAATATTGCAGCACTAGTATCTCTATCACATTATGTAATTATTTCTTTTTTTGTGAGAATCTGACTCCTTCCTTTTAAAATCTGGAAGTTCTGAGAGTGTGGGTGGATCCTGTCAACTTGACCTTCACCGCATGACATGACTGTACTGTTTAGTTAAGAAAATAAGTCTCTTTTCCTATTTCTTTTACTGGAAGTCTATCAAATACTACCTCGTGGTGTGCTAGGATTAGATTAAATGACTTGCATCATATTTACACAGTATCTGGGACACCATGGGCACCCATCAGCATCAGTATCATCCCAACCACCAAACTTTCCACTGGCCTTTTTTTTTTTGCCTTTTTAAATCTCTGGCTACATAAAGAAGATAAGAAAGAAAGAGCTAAAGATAATTTTTGATGACAGGTGTTGTACTGAAAGGCAGTGAATCGTGACTTCTGCTTAAGACACAGGAATAATGAACATCTTGCCTCTCTCTACAACTTCTGTCACTGTCACCTTACTTAGAAAACCTTTTGTTTCCTTTCCTCTTTTTGTGGAGCTTTACTGCCATCCACCAACCCCCCCACCCCCACCGTCCTCCTCCCCAGCCACAGATGTGTGGTGGGGCTCTTGGGTTCGGGTTCATAGGAGGTTGTGGGTATAGCCTACAAGACCCCTTTCAAGTTAGGCAAGAGCTTGAGGCGTGATCGCCCTGGGGCCATAGATGTACATCTCAGCTATGTCGGAATGCCTGGGGAGCAGGTGACAGATCAGTGGAGGCCTAGTTAATAAGATAGCTGTAGTAGGGGTCAGTGGGGGTTGGGAGTATATTAACAGATTTATTCTCCCTAAAGCCAAAAAATCCAGTGTGTACGTTGACCCCTCCTTCTCTGTCAATAAAAAGGTGAGGCTCTGGCTCTCTGCAGCATCCTGCACCCTGCATCCTGCCCAGCGACTCCTGTTTCTTTATCACTGCAGTGTTGCTGGCTCAGCGTGAGGTTTTCTGTTTCATCGAGAGAAGTCACTCAGAGGGAGAGGTGACCTTAACCACCCACTGGTAGCCAGTGCTGTTTTATTCTCACGTCCTTGAGAGGGTGACTCCTCAGATCCGCTCCCCTCCCCCATACACCACCTGCAGACTACTGTACGTACAAGACTACCTCCTTTTGCTCTTTCCCACCAAGTATTTTATAGGGTAACTCAAATTTATTCATCATTTTGCTTCTCCTTTTGAGCACACACTTTTCTGTCTTAAATGCAGAGTGTGTGTGAATGTGAGAAGTGGGCCTTGATTAGAGATAACTCAGAAACAATACGCTTGGACACATACTGAGATATGTATGTAACAATTAGTTGTTATACATTCTTCTCAAGGGCATATAGAATTTTTTTATAAAAATTCACCATGCATTACTCATAAAACAAGTCCCAATAAAAATCAAGGAATCAATATCATATAGGCCAAATCCTCCAACCACAGAGCAGCTAAGTTTGAAATCAGTAACAAAAAGGTAATTTATTTGAACATATTTCTGTTATAACTGGGTTTAAGAAAAAAAATCATAGTCGAAGGAAAAACACTTAAAACTGGATGAAAATGAAAATGCCACATGTCAGAACTCAAGAGATGTAGCTAAAATTGTTCTTTGAAGAAAAGACTGAACCTTACATTCTTTTGTTAGAAAAGAAGAATCTGTGCGTGAAACATCAAACTTAAGAAAACAGAAAATACGTATCAACCTTCTCTTGCCTTTCTAGTTAGAAAACACACTTCATAAAAGAAACATCAGGACCAAGTTGTCGTTCTGAGGTAATGTGAAATATTCAGGTCAAGAAGCAAAGGACTGTCATTACCTTCCAATTTCATTCAGCTCGGTGTAAGCTGAATCAAAGTTTTCTTTCCAAGAAATGGTGGCACCATCAGCAGCAGCATCTTTAGAAGAGAGAGAATCCATTACTTTTACATTGAGACTATCATATAAGTATAAAGAAAAGCCTAACAGAAAAATTCAAACATCACCCCAGAGCAATTCCTAGGACTAAATATGGAGCCAACTCAGTGGGAAAATGTCATGATCCTCTGAAATGTTATTTTTAAAAATATCATCCATGGGGAAATTGACATGACAGGGTCAAACTCCCTGTGCCATCTATGTAAACAAAGAGAAAACTGAAGGCAATCAGAAATGTAATCTCTAGATATTTAAAAATAGAAACTTAGTTTAAAAAAATAAATAAACGCAGGGAAAAGTTTTCTCCCTTAGAATATTTTAGAGGGAAAAATATTTGGAGGCCTGGAAAGCCAGTGAGAATGTAGGGAGGATGCCGCAGAGAGGACAGGGCAGATTTTCAAAACCAGAGAGAGAAGAAAGGAATGTGCAGCTTAACCACTGCTCTCTCTCATCCCGCCTGTCTCAGGCCTAATGAGCTTAATGGCATATTGAATGATTTAGAGCTCCCAAAATACATGCTGAGTACATCGAATCGTTGGCAGCCATTACCTTGAAAGTGTTAATTCCCTGACAATGATTTACACACACACATGCACACAAGTACAAACAGTAATCAGAATCTATTTGTGAAGTCCACTGAAGACTAAGACTCACAAGAAGCAAAACGTGGGCAGTGGCCATCGTGGGCAGGGTTTAATTAGTGACTTGGCTGGGTGGGGGGGACCAAGCCAGCAGTCCAGCCCTCCTACCACCGGTCACTGCAGGCTGTCCAGAGCACAGGCCGCTGAGGCCGAGCACGCTGGCTTATTGATTCCGAGGATGGAGAGGCCCAGGACCAAGGTTTTCCAATGAGTCATAAGCCCGTGGGAGCAAAGCCATTGGGAGGGAGTGGACTGCCGAGCTGGGCAGGCAGGGCTGATAGGGCTGGAGTGCATTTTCGGATTTCGCTGCAGGCAGGAATGTAGTCCAGGCCCTGGAGGGCTTTGAGTTCCAAACCCTGACACAGATTCATTGCCTTCTGAGTACAGTGACTTCCTCTCCTGTCCAGCAGGCACACAGTCTATTCCCCCCACTGCTAAAATCCTCATTACCTAGAGATAACATTTTTTTTAAACCAAACTGTAAATTCTTTTATCAAAAGGCATTATAAACAGATAATACTAAACTTATTTAAAAACCATTGAGTGCCACACCGGTGAATATACAGCTCATGAATAACTTAGAATGCATTTCCCAGTTTAAAAGGCAATACACAGCATACAAAAACCTATACTAAAGAAAGATGTTGGGTCCCAGCCGGGATGAGCCTCCCCAACCACCCCCAGAGCTTAAGCACAAGATTGTAATAGGAAGAAGACATCTTGCCACTTGTGTGAGTGGCTTAACTGATTAATATCCACCCTGATCGCAGTTGCGCATGTGAGGGAGATTTCCTCCTGCCCCCAGGCCAACATCCTGGGATTAAGGGTATAAAAAGGAGGCTGGAAAGGATAATAGGAGAGAGAGAACGTTTGCTGCAACCATCTACATGTGCTGACTCTTCAATCTCGACGTCCCCCCGCGCAGACTCGTATCCCTGCCGTGCGGGCGCGGCAGAAAGAAGCTATAACATGGATACATGATTGAAGTGTCTAAAATTATATATATATATATATACAGTACATAATTAATGTTAATTATGTGATCAGTACATTTTTCTCTTATGATTCCTTTCATGCTTCACTTTCCCCAGAAACTGAATTCTGAACTTCCTCTTCTAAAATTTGTACAATCACGTTATCCTTGGACATCAAATTATATTTCATCACAAATTTAGCAAACTGATGACATAAAAATGTTTCATTTTCATATTCATCAAATATCTGCTGGTGATGAAAATAAGCATGTGAAAATATTCTGTAAATCCTACGGCATACTGATCCTAATTTTGCTACCGATGATTCCTTTATAATAACCCTGCTGGGATAAGATTTATTGCTATTCAGAAGACATGCAGCACTATCAAGTGTGTGTCTAGTATAGTCTATAGCAGGACACTCTTTTGGAGTTTTATGAGCTACAGAAAGAAAAATCCATTGTTCAGTTGCTGTCATCTGAGTGCATGTATCTGGATGGCATTCACTCTGAAGTTTAACAGCAAGTCCATTTAGTTAAAGACAGAATTACCTTAAATGTTCATACTTCCATACACCTTCATCCTGGCCTTCAGGTGGTTCAAAAAATTTGCCAATATTGGAACAATCTGCTCTTATGTTCTGTTGAATATACTGCTGCACAGCTAGTGTACTGTCCGTTTCATCAAATGATTCATCAGGCCAATTATAGAAATCCTGTGCCTCGGTACCTGGCCTGTTCCTCAACACTGCCGTCCCCTCTGCCATGACCATGTGCCAGAGTCCGGGCTACTCCCTAGAGATATCTTTAACAGACTTTCTCTTTCAAAATATCTCTGGGACCAAGGTGGTTTGGTGAGATAGTTGAATAGATGGGAAAATAAAACCGTGTTCATAAAATACTTGTGTGGAGCCAGGTATAGGCATATGTTAGTTGACTTCTCAATACATCTACTTATGTATCTGCATTAAGAAAAAGCTATCTGGGAGGGTTGGGGATGGGGACATGATCAAATATTCTTCATGCAATCCTCCAACCATGTTGCTTTTGTCCTTTCCATATTAAATTGGTGAGTGGGACTGCCCCTAATGCTGTGGGGTATACTTGTGCCCAGCAGGGGTGCCCAGGGGAAAGGAAGCTTGGTGTTTGCATCTCAGAAGAGGGAAGAAAGCAGCCATGGGACCCCCGGCTTTGGCTGCTCCTCTGTTCCAGGAGACACACCCAGCGCCAGGAACCGGCAGAGGTAGGTTGGGTGGCAGCCCAAAGTATAACCCAAGACTCTTGAAGTCACATTTTATGTGACTCTTCACTGGGCCCTGAAAAGTTATTTGACTAAAGCTGCCAAGCAAATTCAGGGCCCTTCTGGCATGAGGGCCCAATATATGCAGACAAGAGCCAGGGCCATGAGCATGTGACAGCTGGCTGGCTGGCTGGGGACTGGGCACCACTGTGACTCACCGTATTCTGGAAGTCGCACGAACTCTGAAGGCTCACTGGGAAGGCTGATCCCCCAGGGGTTACTGGCACTGACTCTGAACTGATAAGGACTCCCAGGGCTGAGGTCTTCAATGACGAGGTAAGTGTCCAAGGTCGAAGCTACAGATTGCTGCCAGGCCTGGGAGCCTGGTGCACAGTTTCCAAGAAGGAAAGAGAAAATGACAGAGGGTCATTGTTTCAAAGACCGTCAGTAAATAAAGAGAAAATGACACATTCCACTCAAGGGACAGCTGGGGTCTGCATGGCACTGGGGGAGGTAGGGAGTCAGGTGAGGGGGCGGGGCGTGAAAGCCTGTGGGCCTCTGTGGCAGGCTGGGCTTCAGTTTCCTAAATAGTTGAATGCTTCGTGAGGGATGCAGGGACAGCAGGCCTATAGGTTTTATCCATTTTCAAATGTGTGCATGTGAGATGACAGAATTAAAATAGTAAGAGTAGCGAAAGTAGAGTAGAACGAGTGTTTTTGGTAGTGAAACTGGTTGCCATCAAGCCAGGTTCAGAGTTGTGCTAATAATTAGAATTACTGGAAGCTCTTATTTTATCTAATTCTTGTTAACTGGGTTTCTGGCTCAGTTTCTAACTGCTAAAGAAATGTGTGCACACTTAATGGAGACATGTAACAAATTTTATAGTTCCATAATTCAGAAAAGACATTAATAGGTACTGTGGATGTATATTTTTTGTGATATCTAATTTTCTTTCTTTCTTTTTTTTTGGAGGGGGGAGGAGTAGGGCAAGGCCCTGATCTGATTTAATTATTACTTTAGGGGAAAGATCACAATTTAGCAAACTTGAGTCTGAGTTCTACTGCTAACTTCTCAATTATTAACTCCAGCTTTTTGCTGCTTAGCTTTCCTTGGGTGCCAGTGTCCCCATATATAGAATTGGCCAGTCCTCCTCGTGGCTGATGACTGAGCTTGTAAAGCAGGGGAGCATCTGTGAAGCTGTGCTGTGCCTGCCTGCATCAGTAATACCTGGTGGAGTCACCTCTCCACGTGACCTTCAGGCCAGATGGGAGATGTGGTTTTGCATGGAGGCCTTGGGGTGTGTGTGTGTGGGGGGGGTGTGGGAAACAAAAGACAGGAGAAGGAGCAGCTGATGAAAGCCACAGAGGCAAATATTTCCATGACTCTGAAGAACTTGCAAGGAGGAGAAGGCAAACAGAAGGGCTGGAGAGAAGACCCACCTTCCTCTCTGTACTCCACGGTGTAACCAGAAATAGTGCAGTTTCCTGTGCTGGACGGAGGCAGCCAGCGGAGAATCACAGAGGAGCAGCTTCTCTCCTGTGCAATGGGGCGGTTTGGGGCTGCTGGAACTCCTGCAGGGACAGAAATCAAGGTCAGAACTTGGTATTTTACACCAAAGTTGAATGTCACTAGGAAGCATAACCTGACCTTAGTCTCAGATTTTCCTATGACCTTCTTCACCAAAGGGCATACCTTTCCTCAGGTGTGAGGTGACCTGGGAGTCGCACATCATGGCCAGAGTTGTTCTTTGGGTTAAATACTGCTAAATACCAGTGATAAAGTGGGTGAAGATGAAGTGAGGAGTGCTAGAGGAGTATGGTGTGGCATGGAGAGTTCTTGGCAAAGATTTAGAACGGAACTTTGGAATTTTCATAATGAGCTTTTCTTTCTCAATTCTCAGGGAGCCCTTGCCATGTTCACTTACAGTGTTTGACTAACACAGATTCATAGAAAGTAGGAGGGTGGTTGCTAGGGGCTGGGTTGGAGCAGGTGGGAATGGGGGCTTGTTACTGAGTGGGCCCAGAGTTTCAGCTTTGCAAGATGAAAAGTCCTTGAGATTCTTGCACAAGAATGTGAATGCATTAACCGATCACTTCTGACTGTCCACTGTACATAAGTTAAGGTCAATTTTACATTAAGTGAATTTTACCACAGTTTTAAAAAGTTTGACATGAATGTTTGACTAACAGAAGACCTTACCTTGCACTTTAACTGTGGCTGATGTCGATGCGGTCCCGTGGTCATTTGTGGCTATGCAGGTGTAAATTCCACTGTCTTGGGGCATCAGGTTGCAGATCTTTAGGGTGATTTCCCCAGAATCACTAGGAACACCGAAAGTATGCTTTTCAAACTCCAGTCGCGAGACAACTGGCTTGTGGGGAAGCTCCCAAAGGACTGGCCCCCGGTGTGCAAGCTGAGTCCGAGGCCCAAGGTCTAGTCCAGTTCTGTTCCTTGCTACCCACCAGGGGTGACCACCTTGCCTCTCTACACCCCCAATTTCTTACAGAGGAAGGACCTTCTTGCCAAGCCTATGGCTCAAGTTGGTTGTAAATAAGGGATACTAAAGGAGCTAATGAGGTAAGAGTTAGAATGTGGTTTGAAATAGATAAATAAAGTCCTATATGAGCTCATGATATTGCTAGTATCACCACCTAGCAACCTTATCCTAAACTATTTTCAGTCACACAATCTGTAGTAAGTGATCTGAAAAAATGGAAAGACTACAGTCTTTTAAATACTACATGTGGGGCCCTCAGAATAACTAAATGAAGGAGTACCTTTCCCCCATCCCCCAGGAAAGATAACTCCCCCATAGTTCCAGCTGGGGTCTGGGACATCACAAGAGAAGATGGCTGAAGGGTTAAATGCAGAAGTCACAGTACAGCTCCTTCCCCACCAGTTGTGACACTTCCTGACCTTCATCACCTCACCAAGCACTAAGTCTCACACTTAGCTCCCTGGTGCACAGATATTATAGTGCCTAGTCAGGGACACTGCTGAGAATACTATTTCACATGCACATAAATTAATGGGCAAAAGTTTCCTTATTCTGGGTATTTCTTCCACAAATATTCCTTAAGCACGTAGGGCTTGTTATAACTTACCCATTGTAAGCAGTCGCACACAATGAAGCTCATAATTCATAGCAGTAAATACTAACATAATGATTGAGAGGCAGCCAACCAAGTTTTGTTCAATAGCCTTTTTGTGTGAAGTATGTTTGTGACCGAGTTTTCTGTTTTCTAGTGTACATTATGGAGTGAATTGTTTTTTTCCTTCTAATAACATAGTTCCCAGGTTAGTGGCGGACTTAAATATATGGCTGTTTCACAGGATCTTGCAGAGCACAGAGAGGCCCACAATGTCGGAATCTGAGGGCCACATTCTTGCCGCAAGCTGGAGCCTTTGCCATTTCCCAACATAAGATTCTCTTGGGGATCATTAAGGAAAGATCATTAAGCAGGTGCGTCTCAGTGTAAGTATAGTTCCAACCTGACCCACTTTATTTGTTTAGTGGGAGTCTAGAAGGCAGCCTACAAGCCATTCTTGTAGGGCCTGGGCAGCATGTGAAGCAGGTGCTATTCGTGACCCAGATGTATCAGCCTGTGGTGGGTTGTAGTGTGAGGCTGGATCTGAGGCTCACCGACATTCTGAGGCTCACCTACACTCTGTCCTACCAATGCTGTCTGACTCAACCACTCTCCTCAACAAGGCTAAGTGTGTGCTCAACAATAGCCCCAGGGCAGCCCTTGTCTGAAGAGACTGAGTAACCAGGAGGAGGAGCTGCCTCTCCCACTGAGAGCTAGCCACTGGGTGCTGCACAGGGGGTGCCAGCATGGGGAGTAGGGGGGATGAGCTTACCAGGAGGAGATGGTGTATGTGGCTGAGCTATTGTCAGTGTCCAGGATGTTCTGGTCTGGGCCCTTCCAGGTGACGGTGGGCTTTGGCCGCCCACACACTTTGCACTGCAGTGTCACTGTGTCCCCAAGCAAGCAGGTCACATCCACCAAGGGCACAAGGAATTCTGGGGCCACTGTGGTCAAATCAACATAAATTTGCATCATTCAGATCAAATTTAGAAGACAACAGTCATTTCTAACACTGTTCTCATCGCCTACATGTGTGTTATAACAACCCAGATAACTTAGCTATGTGTTATCATCTGTGTCCCTTTAAAAAGTAATTTAAAAGCAATAAATGTTTATTGCAGAACACTCAGGAGATACAGAGAGAAGAAAACGCTGCAAGCTGCCTTAAACCAGAGGCACTACCGTGAAGTACACTACACATGGCCTTCCGGCTTTGTACAAACACACTTTTTTTTTGCAAAAAAATTGGGTCCCATTATACATACTGCCACTTGGGGTCCTTCTCACCCTAACAGTTTATAGAAACAGCTTTTCTTGTCCAACTACAGACCATCACTGTTGTTTACAACTCCACAACAGTGCAGGGTTGCCTTAGTTTAGTCAATCTCCATGTCTGTATTATTTCACTTTTAACTCACCTTCTTGGATGAAATTTGGATTTAAGATCTGAAAAACACAAAGAAACAGAAAATTGTTTAAATCCTAAACCACTAAAAGAAAACAGGACTTTTATCCTACTGAGTAAAGAGGAGGTATCGTCTAGGCCCGCCGCCTCGTCTCACGCTGGTGTCCACGGCGCTACCCCACTATCATGAGACTGCAGGTGACTGGCGCTGCTCTGTCTGCTCTGCTGGTCACACTCCCCAGGGGCCAGCCAGACAGGCTTGCTGTGACTGCAGCTCTGCTTTCTGTCCTCCTTTTCCTTGGTTACTTTTCTTCCTTGCCACAGGCATCAAAAGCCATTCTCCCCTGTTCAGTATACACTCAAGCCATGTGAGTCACCAACTCTTCCAGCAGCGTTTTTAATAACAGAGGACCTGGCCAACAACTATCAAACTGGAAGGTCACCGACATTAACCATTAGCCACTAACCCAGGGGTTGCCTTCCACATGTGCCTCCCTTCCCAAGGAGAGAAACTTCTCTTCCAGCAAGAGCTTGTTTGGTTGAAAGGGAAAAAGAAAAAGCTGTTCAGTCCCCACAGGACAGCTTAAAACCACTGGCCTAATGGTTCTAGTCTTTTCTGTTGCATCGGTAAGAAAATGAGACTTAGGTAGACTAGGTGACCAGTCTGGTCACATGGGTGGTTGGCAGAGGCACTTTGCACACAACACTCTGGCTGCCTGGTGACACAGAGGGGGATCTTCAGCTGGCTGAGAGGGTGATCACGTTGAACTTCCCCATCTTTTGTATTACTTCTTCACAATGCAAATCGGGCTGCAAAAGCCTGAATGGGGAGAGAGGCTAAAACAAGCATGAGCTTCAAACTTAGAGAGGCTGGGACTCACCACATTTTTTGGATGTGATTTTATGTTAGACATTTAACACTTATTAACACTGACTTATTCCACTGTAAAATGGGAATAATGACATGTGCAAGTAAGGTACATCAAATGTTTGGCATAATACTTGACAAATAGCAAGGATTCAATGACAGCTTAAGTAACGATCATCTGATTCTAATCATCTCCCTTAGCTAAGCAATCTTGTTAAAGAGGCTTATCTCTGATAACTGTTGATTTGGAAAATTATTTCCTTCATAATGAAGCCAGTGAGCTCAAGTGTGTTCAGTAAGTCCACTGGGGCATTCACGCTTGTCTTCCTATATGCGCCCAAATTAGATGAACACAGTTTGTGTTCTTCCCTTATCCAGGGGTCCAGATAAGCCTCATGGAAGAAATAAGTAACTTCTTCCTTTGGTTTTTACTCTGCAAGCCAATCACCCACTACCTGGGTTTTCCACAAAATAGGCTACAGAAAACTCTTGAAATGTTAAGTCCTGGGAATGGGTGTTCAACACCCATTCAAAAAGCTGAGGCTGCATTTTGGGATCCCCAGCCCTCATTGATCTGACAGGCTAGACAGAAGTTCAAAGCTCTTGTCAGTCTGGCTTGCCCTTGAAGTTACAGAAAATCCCAAATGCCTGTGAGATAATGAAAGCAACTATCTCTGCGTCTGTTGCTGGCCAGAAGGCAGTTACAGGAAGACTCACAAATTTCACAAGTAGAGGTAGGTAATGTGTAATGCCTTGCCTCCCTTGATGGACACATAGTGACAACAGTGTCTGAGTCAACAACTGGGAAAGTTTGACCCTTTCAAACCTACAAATGAGAACTAGAATCCCTGTCAAAAATGAATGCTTTGATTGCTGTTTGATGCAAGGAAATAGCAACTCCCTTCTTTCCTAAGCTGTATGTTCCTACTCAAACTCATGGCTAGTAGAGCAGTCTTCTCAATAAAATCTGTCAGACTGCTGTGGGTCTGAAACTTCATTTTGAAAAGCTAACAACCTCTTTGTCTAACCCTCACAAATGACTCATAGCATCATTTCAGGTCACAGCTCTGACCACCACATTGCCCTCTGCTAGTCTGGAGCATGGATCCCAGTCACTGGCCGAGGCAGCTCGTGTCAAGGACCTCATGCTCAAGAGAGTGTGATGGGAAGACAGGTCAGGAGTTTTGAAATTGTACGTAGCCTGGTTTGAGGAAAACTGCTAAAACTGCTATCCAAGGGAACTTTTCTCATGTAAGCCTACTTCTGGCCCTGAGGCTTCCTAGAGAGATTTGAGGGAGACAGTGAGGACAAGGTGGGCCATGTGAGGGGTTTGAGGGTATAAAAGGCTGATCCTCTTGAACATTTAAGATGCCAATTTGGTGGGTGGCATCGGATTCCTTGAAGGGTACTAAAGAGGCCATCATTTATCCAGCTGTCTTAGGTAAGGCAGGAGAAGAACAACCAGTAATTTCACGAAGAAAGGAGACGAAGAGTATTTTCTAACATCAGCAATGGTTATTTCACAGAGATAGGATGAAGGGCGGCCTTCTCCCTGATCAGAAAACATTGACTTGTCTTCTCCTGTAGGCCTGTCTAAGGTTTCACAGCTACATAGACACTAAGCAAAAAGCCCTGTCCTCAGGAATTATAATTGTCTGAATTTGGGGGTGATTTCCCTTTTCTTTTCTTACCTGAGATTTCCATATAATCTGCAGTCAATATGTTTCCTTTATATATATATATATATATATATTTGAGATATTGAACGTTTCCTTTTTATATTTTTAAAGGAAAACAACAACAACAAAGCTAATCGGCTACAGTCTCCACAAGGTCAGGGAGTAACTTCTGTTATTCACCTTTGTACCTCAGACCTCTGGCCCAGGGTCTGTGACTTAGTAGGCATTTGAGACATGTTGGCTGAGTGAATATTTGACTTTTGACCTCATTTCAATTCTTCCAAGAACTGAGGACAGTTTCATACATAGAATCTGGCATTAGGACCAAAAGATTTATAAAATAATTACTTCTGGGTATGTTACTAATGTTTGAATGGAACTTGTTTTCCTATACAGATGGGATACCAACTTTTGGGAAAATACTTAGAAAAAATTGATTCCTACCCTCTGAGAGAAGAGGCTCTCAGGGAGATGTGAAATTTGGAAGTAGACGCAGCACATACCTCCAGCTCCTAAGCCACTCATGCTTGCCTGTCTTGGCCGCCATCTTGAATTGACATCTTTAATGTAAATTGAGAGGATAACATGCTCACTTGGAAGGCTGCTGGATGGAAGGGTGTATTTATGGGAAGATTTACTGAGCTGTCCTTTGGTTAAGGGAGGGTGGCTAGGTGGCGGGGCAGATGTGCTCACTGGCTTCTCTACCCAACTGTTTATAGGAAGCAGGAATTAAGTGACATCTGCAAAGTTTCCAGGATGGTGCTTGGCTGGTATGAATGACCAGCCTCCAGCAAACTTGAGGCACTGCCTCCCCCTCATCCCAGCCTGGCTCAATTAGAACAACAGGGGAGAAAAACCACCAGAGAATGCTGCCCCCTTTGTCCAGTGGCGGGTGTGTCACATCCTGATGGGAGAATTCACAGGCACAAAGCTTTAAATGCACACAAGAAGTCTTGGAGAGGTAACAGATAGCCAGTGGTAGGTTCCGGTGCTATGCCATGTCAGTTGGGCTTCAGAAACCTCCACAGGGGCAGCTCTTTAATAAAATAATACCCCAAACAATGGCTCAGAGAAGTTGCATTATTCCAATTTCTCATCAGTACCTCAACAGCATTAAAAATATCAATAAATCCACAGAGAGTGGTTGATTCAACTACTCTTCCTAGGCTGAGTGTGACTTCAGCAGGGAAGCTGCAGAGAAGGGTTGCCAAGGAGACTTAATTGCAGGTGCTCCATCTGGACGGGGCTTGCGGAAGGCAGCTATCTCCATCCTCCGCCTTGTGGGTCCCTGTGTTGCTGGTAACGTAGTGACATTGCTGATTTCTGTGACATTGTAGAGTTGGTATCAATGACTCAAACTCCTTCATTTGCTTCTCCACAACCCAGGATCAGCAGGTGTTATATTCCCATTTCCAGATGAGCTAAGGTGTGCCTGTCCCAGACAGTGACAGAGGACAAGTCACAGGGCTCTTTCCACCTCAGCATTCAAAACAGTAGCAAGTTCTTGGGAGAAGCACTGTGAAATGTTGTCATCATGTCTAAAGCCCGTTTACCTTTGCTTTGCTTCCCAACCTTGCTTCCCCCCCCCACCCCATCTCCATCTCTTCCTCCTCTTTAAACTCCTTTGGTAAGGACCAAGAGTCTGAACAAAATCCACCTAAATTTCCCCCAAATTGTAACAATGAACCATGCCCATTGAAGACTTCCCCCTCATTTTCCACTGTCTACTTTAAAGCAAATCAGAGTAAGAACTGGAAGCAGGACATGATGTCCTCTCACACTGTTATGTATTTAACTTTATATTTTCCCATGGCCTGCTATGGACCCTAAGGCCCATGTGGGCAAGAGTCACATCTTGTTCACAGTTACTGCCCCAGAGCGTAGTAGAATACCTAGCACTTGAGTGCTCCATTGGTATTTGTCAAACCAATGATAAAGTGGTGGGATCTTAATCTTGGTGGTAGAGGGGAGGGGAACGGCCAGGAGAGTTGAGAAAATGTCTGATGATTTAATTTGGAGTGTTTCCCTAGTCCCATTAATCGGGAACATGACCTGCTATGGAATGGCACTGGCTAAGCAGGGTCTGCCATTTAGCAACTAGTATTCTTATTTCCCAGGCTCTTCGCTGGCAGTTCCGTGGCGCATCATACGCTGCTCTCTATCATCACAGTTTTGTCATTTGTCTTTCTAGACTGGTGCTCTTCTGAAGACAGTCACTCTTTCACACGTTTCACATACCATGGGTCATGCTGCTCAACACAGCATCTTGTACATAAAACATCAAGCATTTGAGTTAATTAGTAGACTAGGATGTAGGTCTACTGACCACTTTGATTAATGATCATTGTTGGCATGAGCAGGGGCCTGAGGTATCAGTTGGGCACTTGAAGGATTTATTATAAGCTGCACATAGTTCTCTAAACTTAGTATTTTCCTTTCTCAGAAACAATCCGAGAGTCCATGTAGAGCAGTAGAGGGGAAGGAATTGAGAATT